TAGTTGATACGGGATGATACGGAAGACGTCGAATAGAAGTTAACAATGAGAATAATCTTCCGGAACTACTGTATCACCATTTCATTGGTTTTTCTCAACGGCGGTGGAAGTGGGGGAAGGGGGCAGAGGGGCCATTAGCCCACCCACTTTTTCTACTGGGGGCCTGGTCCCCCCATTTTTGTGACTGTTACCAGCACCAGTGACAAACATTTTACGAACGCTGCAATGTCATTATTATTATTATTATTATTATTATTATTATTATTATTATTATTATTATTATTATTATTATTATTATTATTACTATTATTATTATTATTATTATTATTACTATTATTATTATTATTATTATTATTATTGTTATTATTATTATTATTATTATTATTATTATTGTTATTTCGTGCTTACACCTTGTTTATTTGCGCCTTATAAATTGACCTATTATTATTATTAAATTATTATAAAATATAGATTTTTTTTTTCATTTTCTAAGGAACACTACAAGTTCTTTTTTGAATTGAGCAACCAAATGTCGATTGACGTCTGTATACGTGCGTCTGTAAAGTTTCCTTGAAACCTACCCTCGAGCATGCAGAAAAAATCGCCTGCATTCGTGAATTCTGTATTTAGGCATATGGGGGGGGGGAAGGTAGGCACTCTTAATGAAGCAACGTTCTAGTTCTCTTTATGCTGACCACGAAGATGTATAGTAAGTGTAACTGATTGGCTTGCAGTAAACCTTCAAACTAGCATAATATAACCAAATTTAAACTCTAATTTAACGAAAACAATAAGATACTTATTAGGCCACTTTTTTAAATAAAGTTGTCTGAAGTTTAAGTACCAGTACAGAATTTACAGTACCGTACATTGTAGTTAATGTGTTATAGGTTGTAAAAACTGTATTGAGTAAAAAGAAAATATTTTGAATAAAAAAATCTTTTGCTTGACATTAGGAATCAATCATTTTGTGAAACAAAATGGTAGGCTATATCAAGTGTTATATTGAACAGTGGCAGATTCAATGGGAAACCCAGTCAGCACTGGACCCCATCCCATTTTTTTTCAAAATTATCAAAAAAATGGAGAAAACAGACGAAATTGTATTCAACTTTTAATCTGAGAGTGCCATTTCCGGCCATCTAGATGTGCCATAATCATAATTTTCCAACAATTGTGGGGCTGAGGTGGGTGGACCTTTTATTTACGCAAGACTCTATTTCGACTTCCTGGACCCGCCACAGTTGGAGTATCATTTCTGAGCTACATACAAGGGTAATTTTTATCCATCGGGGGAAAAGTGAAGTTTCGGTCGGGGAACCCATATCAAGGATAACCCTCATAATAAATAATTTATTGAGGTCGTGGAAGCAATGTCCACTTCGACTTTGTTCGGAAATCTGTGGCGCATTCAAGCGGAGGGGGAGGCTAAATTATATTCAAATTTTAAGTCTAAGAGTATAATTTCCGGCCATCTAGAGTTGCCATAATCACAAATGTTCTTACTTCAGCCCAAACCATGGCGGGGCTGGGGTGGTATAGATTCTCCATCTGCCGAAGTACCCAATGGCGGATTCAAGGGGACCTAGCCGGCCCGCCCCCACCCTCCTAAATCATCTAGAGGTGCCATAATCACAAAATTTCTTATCTCAGCTCCAACCATGGTAGGGCTGAGGTAGTATAGATCTTCTATCTATGAAATTACCCTCCCTGGGCCCTTCTATTTCGAATTCTTCGATCCGCCACTGGAAATACAACACATATGAAATCATATTAGTAGCTTGAGGCCTATAAAATACTTATAAAATTCACCAAACTTCGTAAAATATCCGTAGCTTCCAGGAACTTTCGCCCCCTGGACCCCCACCGAGGGCCCTTGGCAGCCCCCCTGGCCCCCAGCCTAGATGCTCGCTTCGTTCGCATACTCGGCCTTATGAAATTCCCCCTCCCCTCACTTTCAAAAACGTTCCGCCGCCGTTGGTTTTCCCCTTCTGTTATACAATAATGATACTCTTTTACTACACTTCCAGTTAAACTCCCTCATTCCTTGTTTGTATACTTTAATCTGCGCCGTTCTCTTTGCAGTGCGCAGTAGTGCAGCCACATAAGGTATATCCTGAGGTGGAACATACTGCCTAACAGGGTGCCTGTGTGTACCCAGTAACAAAGACGCTGTTTCTACATTGGTGGTGGTTAAACTCATCCTGGACGCCTAATTGTGTGCTTTATAAGCATAAGTATCATGCATATATTTATATACTTTAAACTTACCCCTCAAGGATAAATGGAATCACCCATACATGCCCTGTGTGTATTATCGGGTATACTGTACAGGCAAGTTTAAGTCTATACATGTATATGTATTTGTGTATATTTTATAGTTCATTTGTTGATATATCGCCTTTCTGTAAGGTTTGTGATTTCTTCCTGAATTTATTTATATTTATTTATTTTAAACGTACCCCTTGAGCACAAAATGGATTCGCCCATAAACGCCCTGCGTGTAATTGGCTATGTAGGCACAGGGATGAGGCATGCACTGTAATTTAAATTGTTGTAAAAACCACAATTGAAATACCTGTTTTCCAGAAAGATTTTGTTGAAAAACTGTCGGCCATCTTGAAATTCAAAATGGCCGCCATCTATGGTCTATGACAATATTAAAATCAAATAGGTTGACATTTAAAACATAGGGTTAGCACTTATTAGAAATTTTGTCAGTATCTGCTTTAATAGTAGAGTTATAGTCATTTTTATTGTTAAAATGGCAGCCATTTTGAAATTCCAATATAGCAGCCAAGACGTTATCGAAAAAAATGGACCCTTGCATTTTTGGATTCAGCATACCCAAAATATCCGGAAAATGCAATAAAATTGCTTTGGGCAAGCCTATCTCGCGAAATGACACTAGGGACCACACTAATTAGAAAGCATAGCCTATCAAATATCCGTGGCTTCCAGGGGGCCCTGGGCGGCCCCCTGGCCCCCAGCCTAGTGAGACTCGATTCGCTCCACTTGCCCCCCCCCCGTCGGGGCCTTTAGCCCCTCCGTCGGGCAGGTCCTGGCGCCACCCCTGTGAAGAGAGACAATTTTAGTGCCAATTTGTTCGGAATATCAATGTTTCTATTTACTCTGATAGATTATTTTCCTTAAAAAATAACTTAAAATGCCGTTTCTGACATTTGACACATTTCAATGCGTAGGGCGGCCAATTATGCCTACTTCTGTGAATTTTAGCTGTACGGGTCGATCTCCAATTAGTTAGTAGGCACATTTCTATTTACATTATTAGATTATTCTTTTTAAAATACCAAAAATGCTGCTGTTACTGAAATTTTACCCACATCGCGAAGCATTTCTGATTTGGCCCTATATCCATAATTCAAGTTCAAGGGAGGAGCAAGTATATCCATAATTGTACTCTGTTGACCTTAGGGCTCTGATATGTTGGCAAATACTTTCCATAGACTATATTTGCTTGTCCCAGTTTGAAATTTGTAAAGTAGTTGCCATAACAAACTTTGTTCCATTAATACCTGTCTCTTATACACATCTAGATGTGTATAAGAGACAGGTATAGTGCTCAATGCGAATGCAGAGCGCAATAATAATAATAATAATAATAATAATAAAAGGGTGTGTCAAAGCGTGAATTTACTCTACAGCTGTTTCATGCAGTAGCAATCTTCAGGAGTGAGTGGATAGGAAGATAATGGATGTATATGCTAATTGCTTCGGAGAGCTAAATGTGTGCTTATGATTTGTAAATATGGTTTTGAATCTGTTGTTTTTGAGTCCGATGTACTCTTTGACCTCATCATTTGTTGTTACAATGGCTTTGTAGATAATTTAAGATGCGAGGCAGTTTCCATTCATCTTTCTTTCGGCAGGTGTATGTATTAGATGGTTCTTGTGGTTTGGTGCGAAGAATTCTGCTGTTGTGGGACTGAATGATGTTTCCTATGTTTCTAGAACAGCTATAGCTAACTTTGACATTATTTTTGTTGAATAGCTTGTGAAGGGTACTGCCTACAAGAAAGTGTTTTTTAACCAAGTTCAGAAAGGATCTGCCGATGTCGGTTTTCAAGCTTTGTTGAATGGAGACAGCATCTCTGAGATCAACAGCATAGCTAAAACCATTTCATCCAGCCTAAACATAGACGATCGTGTTCAAACGATCGCAGAAAAAGAATCCTTCATCAAATTAAAGGACAATAAAGAAAACTTTTAAAACAAACCAAGCTGCAGACTAATCAATCCATCGAAACCAGAAATCGGTCGCATAAGCAAAACCATCCATCGTAATCTGATCACCAAAACCAAACTACATCAGTGGAAAAACACCTCGGCAGTGATCAATTGGTTTAAAAGCATACAACAAAAATCCAACAGCACATTCATTGCATTCGACATCGTGGAATTTTACCTTTCGATTACAAAAAAACCTGTTAATCAATTCAATCAAACACGCACAGAAGTCTACGAGCATTACAGAAGAAGAAATAAACATAATCATGCAAGCACTTAATTCCATCCTATTTGACAGCGATTCGATATGGAAAAAGAAAAGCTCCAACAACATGTTCGACGTCACCATGGGCAGCTTCGACGGGGCAGAAGTATGTGAGCTTGTCGGCTCTTTCATTCTGTCATCACTTGCAAAAAAGCTTGGCAAAAACAACATCGGCTTATACCGGGACGACGGCCTCGCAATCATGAAGAGCACGTCACCAAGTCTGTGTGAGAAGATGAAAAAGGAAATAACATCCATCTTTCACTCCTTTGATCTTCGCATCACAATACATGCAAACATCAAAATCACTAACTTCCTCGATGTTACACTGGACCTACAACACGATACATACCAACCGTTTACCAAGGCGAATAACCAGTTATTGGACGTCGACTCGCGCTCTAACCATCCCCAACCATTTTAAAACAAATACCTACGTCAATTAATCAACGAATCCCTAACATCTCTGATCCCAAGACTACATTTCTCAAGGCTGCTCCCGACTACGAAAATCATTAAAGAAGAGCGGCTTCCAGCACAAAATGAGTTTTAAACCATCACCTGGAAACAACAAGCCTCAAAGAAAACGAAAAATCATCTGGTACAACCCTCCATTCAACAAACCTGCTTTAGAAACATAGGAAACATCATTCAGTTCCACAACAGAAGAATTCTTCGCACCAAAATCATGGAAAGACGATAAAACCGTAGTAGTAACGACGGTTTTATTGTTTTTCCATGAATATGACATTATTTGATTCAATTGATTTGTTAAAATGAGTTGTTATCGCGTACACGATAATTCGTTATAGAATCGTCCCAGTGTAAAAACTTCTCTTATTTCTTTTATTTTCTATATGAACAATTTAATACTTTTTAGCTTGTTATCGTTATCGCTGCAAATATAAACAGGCATTTATTATCATCATCATTGTCATTGGCATTATCACTACTCAATTTGTAATTTAAATCTAATTGGTATATTATTTTAATTTACCTGCTGAGCATCCAAGAACCTCAAATCTTAAACTAATCCAGTTATGCCAGTTAGTTGGATGAATACGGACGAATTTGGCGTAGACAGGGTCAGGGAATATGTTTGTCACGGTAGTGTCTTCATCGGAATTTCCAACAAACCTCTATAAAGACCACATAATCTTAAAATTAACATTGCGTTCTCAGCACATTATTCGAGTATAACCAGAGGTGTAACTACCTGTGGTTCAGCATACAAGATACAAGAAACTTTATTTGTCTTTAAATATAAAGAAATTTTGGAATATACGGTATTTCATAAAACATGTATTAAGACAACTTGTAAAAAAAAAACCAGAATGAACAAAATATAAAACATTATATACTGTACAAAAGAAAACAAAAAACAAATATAAATTTCACATTTTTTTTTTTTTTTTTGTTAAATTTAAAATTTTAATTTTTCGTATATTATTCGTATATAACGTACAGGTGATTACTCTCAATAAAAAAGAAAAAAATAATAATATATGTAAATATATTGGGAAAAATTGTAATGACACTTACAGTAACTTGACAATCTGAATTCCTGATTGGTTGAAACAGGTTACCATCGACACTGTAAAAAATCTCATAAGACGTCACCCATTGTAAGCAGCATTTGTTTCGGCCTTGTGTGATTACTCCGCGTACCATATGCAGTTTGCCGAGGTCAACTTGAATCCACTGGTATTGATCTATGGTTTTTGAACACCATGCTCCTACTCCCAAACTATCTGCTTCAGTGTTCAGTCGTCCTCTATGTGCCCCGTTCCGTAAAGTCCATTCACTGGATGCGGACAGTTGTTCCGCGGGAATAGTCCCATCTTCAATACCAAGAGGATCGGTACACAACTCTGAGATAGAATATTACAATTACAGTTATGACACAATTGGTGACAAGTTTCGATATTTTTTTCTAAATTTTATACAGTATAAATTGAAAACAAAGTGAAAGAAAATCTTATAAGCTACTATATTGTGTAGTTTTAATTTTATACAAACTGTATTATTATGATTCTTCACATGTTTTCAGTTAACTGCTGCTCCGCATATTAATCTGAATCTTCATTTTATAAGATTGATTTTTAGTTTCCAAGTTTATACAGGCCTTATAGTTTCTGTGAGAACATTCCATTTTGGACGTTGACGAACTTTGTTCCATTAATACTGTTGTTTATAATTTAAAAGTGAATCAAAGTCTTTGTATATTTTATTTGATTATGATTATGAAAAATTAATAAATGTTGGGCTACTCTATACAATGAAATATTGAAAACCACACCATTATTTTTTGCTTTATGTTTTTAAATACGGTTTGTTAAAGCAAATAAACGCTACGCGTATCTGTGGATAAATAGTTGATTTTTTTTCGGGTTTTTGCCTCCAAAAATTCTTATAGTAATTCAATAAATTTATATATGCTACAAAAATGTTTGTAATTTATATTACATACAAGACTATGCTAATCATAAGTACACTAGGTGTTCAGCAGTCACGAGTGCTTTTCAACGCAAACTCTTGCTTTTTGCCGTATTACGTATCTGTGCTTTTTGCCGTATTATTTTCCAAGGGCTCTAACACCGCATATAATCAATCATTTAATTTATATAAATTATACGACGACTCGACATTTTATTGGCTTTCGAAATATCTAAAAATTAGTTTGATTTGACTGGCTCGTCAATTTTTGTTGAACTGTTCAATGCCGATGGAATCTTTGGGAGTCCTATAGTTTCAACAGGACTCGAGCCATTGTTTCGCTAGTGTTCTGTCCGAATAATTGTAATATCAGTCCTGATGGTTTACAAAGTAGAAATATTTATCTTATAACTTCAAATTGTTTTCAACAACTTCACCGAGATTCTTTCTATATTGAATTTTTCTAAACTTCTTTCTGAAGCTTATTTTCTTGTATAAAATAATTTCATTTTACGTTGACGTTTTTCCAATATACAAAATTCTTCTACCAATATACCGTTGAAGTTGATTAATTTATATTGCATCACACCAACAGTTTTCAAAAAACAAACGGGAATTATTTACAATACTACTCATAAACTCTTCTGAACTGTTACAAGAACCTAAATCCGGCAAAACACAATTTATTTTTTGAAATAATGAGTGAACCTTAGAAGGCCAATTTTTAACATTTCGATTACAAAGTAAATTAGACCATTTGCAAATTTGAAGAGGGATTCTGCAATCATTTAAGTTATTTAGGTATATAATAAATTTGTGTCCGCTGATTAATATCAGATAAGAAAGTATAATACATACTCCAAGTATTGAAATGCACGC